CTTTTCTTGAGAAGCAGTGGAAACTTCTGGGAAGCTCAGTGAAAAAAGTCTGAGGAGATGGCAGTGAGCTAGAGATGAACATCCGATCATCTTCCTTCAACTTTAGCCTTGTCGTGATTGCCTCAGGAAGAGCGAGGAAGAAGTGCCGAAAAATGTAACTGTCACAGAACAATCGAATCTACACAGAGCCACTTAGATCCACTTAGCACATCAGGAATCTCTAGACAATCTTCTGTTTGTTTGTCCGCAACTGTAAAGTGGATAGATTCTATCCACAACAGGCTATGATGATGTCAACTAAAGGCCTGATTGCCCAAAAAAGAGTGACAAAGCTGTTATACCACCTGTTGCAGTCAAAAGGTTTTTAAGATGATGATGTATGCGTTCTTTAATGATGTGTTCATCTCAAGATCTCGTGCCCACTCCCCCGAACCAAGAGACCGTGAGTCGGTGCAGCACGAAGAGAGGTGCTGAAATCCCAGCGGGCCGATTCAGCACCTCCGGGCGGGGCAGTGAATCGGAACGCGGCGTCGCAGGACCACAACGACGACGCGGGACCTAACGCGGCAGTCCAAAGGACGAGGTGGTCCGAAAGAACATCAAGGAGTTCATTCTTTTTTCCACAGGTCATTGACGAACACAACGAGTTCCTTCTTTGACTCTTGAGACTCTCCCATTGTGTTCTGCCTGCTTTGACACCAATCCATACACTTCACGTCCCTCCAAATGTCTTCGACCGACCTCCGCCAGTCGATTCACTCGCCCCTCCGTCGACCGACCCGCCCCCCTTCGACCAACGGCCGCCTCCGCAATCTCCACCTCCGTCAAGCCTCCGATCTCCGGGACCTGCGAGCCGTGGCGGCCACGCGACGCGACAGCCGACAGCCGCGACAGCCGTGGGACCCGATTTGCAGGATCCACATGGATTGAAAAGCTTCAAAAAAAGGACACAACGTTTGGTGGGTGAACACTGCTTCAAACATCTAAATATCAATCAAGGTTTTGGTCTCAGTTCTGCATCTAAGAATCCCAGTTGCATTTCGAAAGCTCCCCCCATACCGGCAAAAAGACATCAAGTCCCTATCCGGTCGCTCGTCCCCATCCGACTGCATCACAAGCGGATGGACCTCCATTGGACCCCCTGTCGTTGGCCTCGTGCGCTTCATGGTCCGGGCCCCGCGACTTCCGGAGCTGCGAGCGCAAGCTGCGCGCATCGCTCTGTCGTAGGTGGCACATGAGCGCTGCGGGGAACCTGAGACGCGACGCGACCAAGGTCCCGGGTCCGGGTCCTGCAAGCGGTTCGAATGGGTGGAAGATGGGACCTGAACAGGAAGGTGAGTGGGTGAGCTAGGGAATATAGCTGGAATAAGCGTGAATCGACAAAGAATGCTCGGCTTTTGGAAGATATGTGCATGAAATTGGAAAGCACTTCCCCATGTGGTTTAAGGATGACTATGGATTTGTTCAGGAGTTGAGATTCTGGACCAAACCGTTTTCGATACCGGTCAGAGTTGGTCGAGAGGCCGAAATCAAACTGCAACTGGGCAGTTGACAGTGTCTAAGGCTTCACCTGTAATGTTTAATTCGTCGCTGGTCTACAGTAAAATGGCATTTCGCCAGACCCAAGGACCGATGCACTTCACATGACTTCATGGTTGGTCGGTTGGTCGTGTCGCCATGGGATCTCCTGCTTCGATCAGATCAGTCTTGCAATCCGCATGAAGCGTCATGTGTCTTTCACTTCTAGCAACTGCTACAACACGACTTACAAACACCATCCCCGTGCTTTGGAACACCATCCCGTTACGTCAAATACTTGGCAGAGCGGACACGACCCGCCACAGACGTCCCAACACTCCCGAGCGGACACGAGCGGACGTGCGTGCGTCGCTCGGATCGGGCAATCCCACCGAGGCACGCAGGGATCCACCGGGCCAGCTCCATGAACTGCTCACCTGAGCTTCATCGAAAGAAATCCCGGGTCTTCACAGGGTCGAGTCTTCACATTGTTCAACACGTTCGATGGAGACGGTGCTTTCGTCTTACCACCTTCTCGAGGAGAGCTCGAGACCAAACATCTGTCGTCCAAAAAACACACGTCCGTCAACCCGATTGGGCGGAAACCGAAAGAAAATGAAACGATTGGGCGGACTCAACAGGGCAAGGCGGCATGGTTTTATAAGCCTTGGAGCTTGGAGCTTCCAAGAGAACTTTAGTGACCTGAACTAGGACCCATCACCTGGGGTACCTATGGGATAGTCTATAGTCTATAGGGTTCTTCAACCTCTGTTGCTTGGAGCTCATTGTTTCCTCCCTTCCGAAAACGGGCTCTGGAGCATCTCGCTTTTTCTTGGATCTTTCGGGTGGGGGAAGGAGCTCTGGGTGGAGCTCCGGAGCCAAAGACGACTCGGACTTCACCACGTATTGGAGTCAAGGCACGCTCCACCTTCTGACTGGATTCGGTATACAACTTCCTGCCAGCGATGCATTAGAGCTATATGTCCCCAACAAAAGTCCGCGAATTCGCCGCGGTTTTGGCCGCTTTGGCCGCGGTCGGTTTTTCGCCCTACAGTCCACACCCCCCATGCTTCGCCCAGGTCGGTGGTCAGTGGTGGACTGCGAACGGCGGTCACGCGTGGTCACGCGAACGCGACCGGGGTCCTGGAGATCTCCAGGATGTCGTCCCACAAGTCGCGCACGCGGGCGAAGCGCATCCGCGACTGGCTGGCCCTGAACCTGGGACCACCCGAGGCAACGGCAAAGCAGGCGCGCGAGGTCGGCGGTCGTAGCAATGAAGAAGATTATATAAATATATTACGGTTCTTCGGACTTCCTTCCTTCATCTCATAATATAGTTATTTCATGCTTTTTCCTATATATGACTCATGACCATTCTGAGTTTCAGGTCGGTTCCAGGTCCAAGCGACGCCAACAGAAGGCCCAAGGCGACGAAGCCAATGCTGAAAGGTTCCACCGGCAAGGTCAAGTCCGGCGCACCTCGAACGCGAGGCACAGAGGTTCGGAACCGAACCGCAGAGGTCCAGCACCGGCTCCCTCAGTGGCTCCCTAAAGGGAACCACCAAGGCAGTCCGGGCGCTCATCAAGCACCGGAGTTCAGCAGTGTTGGATCAGGAGCATCAGGAGTCCGGTTCCTCAACTCCGTTCGCTCCCGTGACGGGCGATCCATCCCCCGTCCTCCTGGCACGGCCAACTCGTCGTAGAACAAGGCCGCCTTGGTGCTGACTCAAAGGAACGAACGTCGACGGTCGTGGTCGACGGTTCGTCATTGAGGTCGACGGTCGTCCAAGCGTTTCTCCGATGCTTCGGACCGGAATTCAGAACGGTGCTGCCACTGGGTCGTGAAAGCCTTTTCTCCGGTGAACACTCCGGTTCAATCAGAAACGGTCTCCAACAGACTTGGGAGGGATTCAATGTTCGATCCATCTATGTTATGGCCGCAGTATTGCTGTTGCATGCTATTGCTGACAATCGGATCGACGAAAGCAGTCCAGTCGAGAAACAGCTGAGACAAAGTTTAGAAGCAGAAGAGGACGTTGCAACCTGCGATCGTCGCTGCATTTCGCCGCATAAGACTTTGCCTTGGGTCTATATATCCCAGACACAGAAGGGCCCTATGGATGATGATGATGATGATGATGATGATGATGATGATTAGGTCCAGGTTGTCAGCCTTCCTCTAAAGTCGTGATAATTGTCTAGCGACTGTTACAGCAATAGGACGAATAGGACGGACCCTAACTCTGCCAAAACAACGAATCCTTCACCAACAAAAGGTGTAGCAAACACTGTCAGTGCTGGCCTCTGCAGTACATCCAGACCCAGGACTGCCTTCACCAAATCAATGTAGCGACCGTCCTGTTTCGTGTCTTCCCACTCCTTAGATGTGTCCAGTCAATCGCAGGTTTCTCTGAAAATGAGGGAATGACGTTGAAGACGGCTTTCATGTGAGTTGGGTTGAAAAATAAGACCATATCGTGAATCTGCATGCCAAACCCTCAAATATGCTTCTCATGTGTGTACTGGAAGTGAATTCGAGACGGTCCCTCCCGTTTCGACACGCACAGGCCGCCTCTGCGCCGAAAAAAGCGCCGACGCCGACGCCGACGCGGCGCAGGGCTGAGCTCGGCGCATCATATCCGAAGGGCTTCAAGCTGGTCCGTTCACCTGCTCCGTTCACTCAAGTCGGAATGCACCAGTCATATGAGTCTGTGGAGTCTGTGTTCCGAACGTGTCTTCAGTATGTTTATCTATCATGTACCATGTTGTATGCAACTGGTCAGAAGGCTAGTGAGCAGCGGGATACCAAGAATACCATAGAATACCTTTCTCTTGCCGCAAGGGGGGTGGCCCCCAACCCCCAAAGGCCTGCCTGTTTGAAGAACGAAGCGATACACCAAAATGGGCGAGATGATCAGCAGCAAATCCGAAAACCTCATGTCTCTAGAGTCAACCCCCGCAGATGCGACGCATTGAGGCGCGAGTACCTGCCTCACGTGTGTGCCTCAGAGTACCTGCCTCAGAGTACCCTCACACTTCTCCGACCATGGAATGATGCCAACCCAAACAGAATACCTGAACCATTCACGACACTCACATCACATAGACCCTCAAACAAAAAAGAGCAGTTCTCATAGATAGATCGAAAAAGGAACAGTTCTCATACTGACTGGTGCGTCTCGCAGGGAATGAGGGTGGCTGGATCCAAAGGAATCTCTAGACAGGGGCTCGTTCCCTTATTCCCTACTAAGCATCCGTCAGCATAGATAGATCGAAAACCACCACTTGTGAAGTGCTCGGTGCAGCCGTAGGATTCGCGCTGCTCGGCCCAGCGGCACGGTCAGATCTTGAGAGCTCAGGCCGGCAATGCCCAGGGCATTTCGAGGGTTCTGCACCGGGTTCCGCTTAGGGCAAGACGAAAGGCTGAAAGAACTATAGTATCTATAGTGGATTAGTAGATGGCGCAATCTCCAAGTTAGGTGGTCTAGATAGATCCCCATCTAAATCACCTGGTGCGGCATCTACTCTGAAACCACTGTAAAGAAAGATTCATAGATCTTGTATTGATGTCGTAAAGCTGTTGTGGAAGACAAGACATAAGAGGGGGAGAAGCTTCTTGCGAGAAGGCCTGATGCTTCCTGCTTAACATGAGAACTGCAAAGTAAGGCTTTATACCTTGATGTGGGGGTTGTGCCATCTGCTCGACTTGCAGTCCTGGATACGGGTAGGGACAAGCATAGTGGATCCAGCCATGACCTTGGAAGGCCACAGACCAAGGCAGCGGCAGGGGTTCTTGCGCCCAAAGTGTCCATGGTTGATACTGCTGGATTTGGTTGGCGCGATTGTTTGCAGGCAAGTCACATTCTTTGGAGGATTCAAGGTTGTCTTGTGCCAAAGCACCAAGAAACTCCAGGTTGAGCCAAGAAATGGACACAAATAGATCCCAAGAAGCCTCAGAGGCGGATGCTATATCTGTGGTGCAAAACCTGTTACCCTTCTCCTGGACTCCTGGACAAAAAGAAAAGGCATGTCCAATGAATTTCGAAGCGTTGTCCCATTTTTGTCCAAGATGCAAGAGCGACAATGCCCGAGAAGAAACCTAAGGACATGTCTGGGCACGTCGGCATGACATGTTAATACATGTTCAGGATTATTCACAGAAAATTCATGGTTCTTTGTTTGGAAGTGTTTTTCTCAGTTAGTTAGTTGGCATTTCAATTGTCAAACGCATGTTTTTTCCAGAAAATCTGAGCACCCGACAGAACGTTTCCGCGAAAGCATCCTTCAAGATGCTCCGACACCCGTCACAGTCTGATTTTGTGCTCCGAAGCGACTATCTGAGTCTGATCCAAACGGCTAGCGGCTAGCTGCAGGTTCAACCCATTCCAAAAACTGTCGAAAAAACTGTGAGCTCTTGAGAACTGTTCAGGAGTCACCATGTCAGATTGCCAATTCAGTAGTTTTTCTGGAAATTGCAAGGCCAGGAAAAGACTCTGAATGGCTGAAACGGCTCAATGCGATGATGTCAATCTGAAGTTTTGAAAAACCACTGTCGCCTTCAAGCTGCCGCATTCCACAAAACCCACCCTCCTGCCTTTACTCTGATCTGCATGGCAGCTGTCATTGTTGCGGTGTTCAGTTTGACTCTGCCAAAAGTTTTTGTATGCAGTGGTTGGCTGCTTCTAAGAACGCATGAGAGCACGAAAAGTGTCCAAAAATGCCTGTTGTTTATAGGCGTGTACTTTCTGACAAACGCCCATATGGAAACAGATGTGATCCGAGCCAGAAGGGCTCAGCGATGGAGCTGGCGATGGTGCAACCAGTCAAGTTGAACCAACGGCAAGTGGGGTATTGAAAAAGCCGTGTTTTTTTGCAATACCTCGAAATCACGTTATCGCGTTTCTTTACTCTTATCGGTTTCTCCGGTGTTGGGTTTTATGCACACAAGAACTGTCAAGATAGCAGGTTTCCATGCATGTGAAAGCATCTTTGGTGGTCCTACTTCAGGATCCCGTAGCACTGTTTGCACCAAGGCGTGCACGGTCTTTGGTGGTAAAGACATGGCAGTAACAAACAAAAAGCTAAACAAGACTACCGCGCCGCACACTTCTGCCCTTGAAAAGGTCTAATGAAGACAGTGAAGTGGGTACTTGCCCACCAGGGGTGTTTTTCGCATTATCGCGTCGTTATCATGTTGTTGTCGTTCTGGACATCTCTGCAGGTTGCCATTTTCGTCGCTCATGTACTGGCAGCATATGGACCAAACAGCCCAGTCAGTGCGGTTACTGAATGGAAAGTGAGATTTGAAAGCTAGGTTCTCACCTCCCCCTTCAGCAAGGGGGGTGTGGGAGGAGGATAGTCAACTCTAACATTACCTATCTATTGTTAATGGGACAGGTTGAAGCCCATGAGATGCGCAGGTATATATAGTCATTATCGCTTTTTACGCTTATCGTTTTCTGGTGTAGGAATGCATGTGTATTGTTAAGGTGCGTGCCAATACTAAACTGCTGAGCGCGGGCTTATTTCAATTTCCCACGTCTCAGTCAAGCCATTAATTTCTCCGATCCTGTATAGGGCGCCGGGTCGCTCAGGCGCCAGTCCTTGCCGATGAGTGGCACTCTTTGGCCAACTCTCACTGGTGAGTGGCGCCAGTCAAGTTGAGCCAACGGCAAGTCTCAGTCAAGCCATTTTTTATCCGATCCTGCTATAGATGAAGCCATCTCCGGCATCTCCCTCACTGGTCAGACCTCAATCTTCACTTGCATCGGACAAACGTCATTCAATGCAAACATGTTCGGCCCGCGGCTCCACAGGAGCTGCTCCAACCAGGTGATTGATGGTCTCCTGACGGGAACGAACAATTGCGTGGCCTGCTCCAAAAACTTGCTCACAACCCCAAAAAAAAACAAGTCAAGCCAGTCAAGCTTCCTCCGCGGCAACTTCTGTCTGAAGAATCCACCACCGCCAGCGCAAGGCCACCTGAGCCACGCTTATGAGCAGGGCGAGCGCGCGCGCGCGCTGTAGATGAAGCCATCTCCGGCAAGTCAAGTTGAACCAACGGCAAGTCTCAGTCAAGCCATTATTTTCTCCGATCCTGCAAAACGTGATGAGGCCATCTCCCTCACTGGTCAGACCTCAATCTCTACTTGCATTGTACAAACGCCAGTCAGTCAATGCAAGCATGTTCGGCCCGCGGCTCCACACAGGAGCTGCTCCGATGATGTTGTTAAAACAATTGCGTGGCCTCCTGCAAAAAGATTGCTCGCAACCAAAAAAGACTAAGTCAAGCTTCCTGTGTCCC